AAATAAAATAAAATAAAATAAAATAATAACTGGTGATAGCTACATCAGCTTTGGCTCGTCTCCCACTGTTGCTTACGTAAACACGTGCAGTTGCACGTTAACAATCTCTGATATACTAACCTCTGACAGGTTAGACGTAAGTTTTGTTTTTATTGTACCTGATTGAAGATAATTATTTGGGTCGGGATACTCAGGAATCAGCTGAACTGGTTTTAGTTCTTGTGTGCTACAAGTGTTTATACAGAGTACTTGAGTACCTCCTTCCAACTGGCAGATAACCTGGAATGAGTAACTAATGATTAGCTTTCAACTAAGAAACTGCAATTCTAAGCACATAGACAGAAATGTTTTCATAAGAGTACCACCTGTCTTATAAAGCTTCACAGTCACAGACTGGCATCTCTCAAACAAATGGATCATTACACATTAATATATTTGCTTTTTGACCCTTAAATTTCATTTATTTTTGGAAGCAGCTACTGCGATCTAACATTGTAGCTCTCCAACCTAGTTGATACGGATTCCTGGTTTTCTAAATTGCTCCATGGGGCTTTGTAGAGCATATTCCAGCTATCTACTTGTGTGCTGCCTTCAGATTCAGTTCCCTAACCAGAACATGCCACTGTAACTGTTACTGTTTCATTCCATTTATTTAGCTGTGATTTTAAATCAAGACTTTTCCTTCAGATGAAGCAATCTTTACATTGGTTTTTTTTTGTTTCCAGCTGCTAAATAGAAAAGAGTACATAGTATACATATACATAACATAGGACTACAACTAGTTAAAATTTAGACAGTGAGTCCAAGGAAGGGACTGCCTTATTATTCTTGATACAGCACATACAAATAAGTACAAATAAGTTAATTTTCTCAACATATAATTTTGCTGCCAGTTACAGGATATAATTACCACAGGGTCGGAATAATTTCTGGGTGAACATCTGGATTCCTCTGCTACACTGTGCAATGGTAATAACTTGTAGCCAGACTCATCAACATTTGAACTCTGCAAAATTGCTCTGTCTTGGTAATTCTCAATAACACTACTAACTGCCTCTCTTGCCTCCGTCTGAAACACAAAATTTTAAATCTTACAGGCATGCTTTAAAACCTACTTTAAATTCCAACCAAATAAATTTAAAAATTTATTTGCACAAAGCATATATTTTAAAGCAAGGATTGTATTAAAATGTAATAATGAGAAAGGCAGAATGATTTTTGCTTTGAGTAAAAATATTCCTGAAGAATAACAATGAACAAGTAACGTACTTCACAGCAACAATGGCGTTCATTGTCTCCAACTTCGTGAAGCAACTAATTTCTAAACTGCCTTGGAGAAAGTTAGGCAACAGTCACAGCAAATTATGTTAAAAAAATAATTAATCTTTAATTTTATAACTTGACTGGGGATCACTGGGATTTAGTCTGAGTAAGAAGTAGTTAGTCATCTTCACTAATTGGACACTGGACTGCAAATTCAGTTATACCTATAAATCAGCCTGTTCCAAAATAAACTTTTGTTAATGGTGATCAACTACTGTGTGTCACGGCATCATAGATGTGATGCCACTTGCATTTGTTGAAAACCAGTTTATCATCTATCTTGCTGATCCATTATCTTATTACCAAAGTCACACTTTCAGATGAAGCCTCGCCCCTCTCAGTATACACTTTAAATGGACAACCTTGAGAAACACAGACACAAAATTTCAGTAATTTCCAGAAATCTCCCTTTCATGAAATACACAAATTTCTATAGTTTGCCTTGCACATATCTAGGAAATTATATTTGAAAAAATTCAAGCATTTTAAGAGAACAATTAAGTTGCAAAGAACATCTCCTCATAGGCAGGGAATCCTAATGTAAATGCCAGATTTTCATCCTCAGCTCTGTTCTTTCATATATGCTGCACATGTGTATAAAGGCTCAAATACTAACCAGCTGCCCAAGGGTATTTGGCAGAGTCCCAGCAGGCAGTTTGTGCTCAGGTGGCCTTAGAAGCCCCTTCCCTAACTGGCCTGAACTGGAACCAGCATGTGCAAGTGGCAGACAGGAGCCAGCTAGACTTGAGCCAATAGGAAGAGAAACAGGAGAAAAATCCAGACGCCACTCTAGTTTCATCCACAATGTAGCAGTGCAGGAAATCCATGGAGCAACATCTTCTTTCTCTCTCTTTTGTGAACAGATCAGACAGGACAGTGCTTGAAATAAGCTTTTACCCTCTGGTGCTTTGAAACATATAATTTTAGACGTTCAACACTCGGACAGATTCTTCCAATAATAACAAAATCTTGCATGCGTACTTACTGTTCCATCATAGACAGAAACACTAGTCTGAGGTAAGCCACGGGTATCACTGGAAGATTCTAGCACATAAAATAAAGCATGTTTGGTTTACAAAAAGATTAGTGTTTCATACCAAGAACTCCTTTACAGCATAGCATCAATAGAAGAGATTTTGATGTCACTACAGCATTACATTCTTGAGAAAGAAATCTTTAACATTCTTTTGTAACAGACTTGCAGGGAAAACCAGACTCCAGATTAGGGCTTTTTGATGTCTTTAAAAGGCTTATTGTACTCATTGGGTAAAATTCGTTTAGCTTCAGGATAAACTACCTTGTAAGATCAAATCCATCAGTAAATTTAACCCTGAGCAAGACTGTGAACAGGTTATGGGCAGAACACACCAAACAACTGCTTACAAGCTTACTGTCAGCAGCAGCAGCAGTGGAAACCACCTAACTTTCATAACCAGTGGTCAAACTTCAAAGTGAAATAAAAACGTTGTTAAACTCAATAAAATTGTGCTGCAAGAAGGAATATCTTCTTCTCAGTCCCCTGAAGAATTGGGGAGGTAGTATGAGAGGAAGAGAAAATCAAAAGTAAGACTGAATTACGTGGTTCAAGCAACTTGAACATACATGAACAAACAGTGATCCACTCTCCTTTCAAACATCCTTAGTTATATTAATACGAACAGAAGCAGGTCATACTGCAATTTTCCAAATCCAGAAACTAATTTATTTAGCTATTTAAATCCTTCCCTAAGCTTATAAGAGGAGAGAAAAAAAAAATCATCCTCCTCAATCACTTGGGGCACTTACCATTTAAGCAATTGGTCAAGTTTTGTAACTGCATAGTACTGGTTTGGATTCCTTTGAATTGATCATAACAAATACACTTATTCTCACCTGCAACTGGAGGCATGAATGATCTGAACACCTGAAGAAAAGAATGTTCTATTTCTTTAAATTATTCATTTTTAAAAAGCCAAATAAATTTTAAAAACCGACTTAAAATGACCTTGAAAACTGGAAGTTATTTACATTTTCATTATATAATTGAACAGACAAACATGGTGGCCTATTCAGCATTAGCAGATACCATTATATGCCTTGAATATTATTTCTCCTTTTCCTGCCTAACATATAGTTATGGTTCAGATCTAATGCATTTACAACTATAATAGCATCATACTTAATGCCTACATTTGTATTTTCAAAAACAAACCAAATGAACAGAAAATGGAACAAAGACAGAAATCAACTATTTTAAAATTAGAATTAAGATTGTGTGAACTAGACAATTTTCTCTCTGTGTGTGCTGCACTTTCTCCTAATGTAGACAGCAGTTTAGGAAGATAAGCAAAGAAAGCAGAAAGAGCCAATCACCTTTCTTTATTTCAATAAAACAATTTATAACCTGATTAGAATTTTGTCATTCAAGAAACAGGGCAGATCAAAGAAACATGCAGATTTAGTGTGATAAACTGTAAGGATACTAGGAAGATACTAGGTCAGAAAGATTTTTTTCTAAATCTCATTTTTAGCTCCTTGTACAGACTAAAAAATTTGCATTATTTTCAACTTGACTTTGAAGAAAGCATCTGTTAGGCCTTAATCACATCTTTATTTTCTAGAGGCTTCCATAAGTCTTTTGGATCTTATCAATGGTTCAAAAGATTAAAGCTCTCTCTAGATTACTCAAGAACTACTGATAATATTGAGCAGGTGTGTAAACAGCCTTCCAGGCCAGACATACTTTTAAACTAGAACCATAACCTGAAATCAGAAAGAAAACCAAAGCAGGTAACTGTCATGGTAGACCTCAACCATCTCAGGATGAAATGCTGCTGGGAAACACGCTGGGCTGCGGAGTGCCAGCAATGATTTCTGTGAGAGGAGGTTCCCTGCACAGACACCCCTCAGCTGCCACCCGCCTTCAGCCTGGCACCTCGCTGGGATGCCGCCTCAGACCTCATTTTCAACCAAGTGATTTTTGTGAGTTTTGAGGGGGGGGTTTAATGCTTTTGATTTTTGAATCTGAGAACAGAATTGCTTGTCAAAATATTTACAAGGAAAACTAGTATGCTTAATTATTTCAAGATAGCTTCTCAGAGGAAACTTCAGTGCCCCTCTAGGAGCAACCACATCGCAAACTTAAAATTTGGAGATTTCTTCAGATGATATTCTGCAGCCATAAACAACAATGCAAGGACACATTAGTATTCTACATACGAACAGCCTGCATTAAGCCAGATGGATTTGGTCCTGTGAGCACCACATGAAGTTTTATGCTGCGTAGCTTTCTAGACAGCAATTGATCCAACACAGAAAATACAACTTCAAGCTATACAGAAAAACTGCCAAACATGGTAAGCAATGGGAAACCCCTCTCTTAATGCACTACTTTCCTCACAGAGATTTAACAACACAGGTTATGGTTTACTGCTGCAAACAAATTAGTTTTTAACTCATCTGGACTACATATTTTAAGATGACAAGTATGCCACCTGTGGAACTAAAGGACAAAAGTTAACATCCTATTTGTTCTTTGTACAATTACCTAATAGCTGTTAATACAGATGGTAATATATAAAACCATTTATATGGGTATATTTGTGACATGGTAAGGTTTTTTAATGAGCTAAGTAACTACCCAGCCATTTAAAAATATTGCTCATAATATAGACAAAAAAGAGCAGTTAGAACCAGATGTTCACACTGCATGCTCTTTCTGGCAATATAAAACTGAAATTTATTTCTGTATTTACTACTAAGCTTGTTCTAGTACAAAATTTATGACATAACTTTAAACATTATGTGGATCCCATATAGGTTTTAACATGGCAATCGCCCACGTTTAAGTCACAAATAAGCATCAATATATAAAAATTCCTATTTCACTTAATCTTACTGGTATCATTCTGACATTTTGATTGACTGTTCCTTCTGGAGAGAAAATGCTTAGAGTTGGAACACTGCAATTTTCATACTGCATCGCTACAGAAGAAAGCAAGTGGACACCACTCGAAGGCAGATAAGGAGAATGCATATGTTCAGCTGCTTCTGGAAGATTTAATTCCTTGTATTTTTCAAGATCTTCGTCGTCAGGGCTGTTGCTCCCATGTGGATGTACTGCAACATTTACTATTGCATTTTGATTTTCAGCAGTGGGTGGATACTTGCAGTGATCTAACAAAGCCTCTCCCACATTCACAGCGCACACGTTGTCTTGACTAGACAGCAATCCTTCTTCAATGGGATTATTAATTGCTGCGGTTTCCAGATTAAAGTTTTCAGAACTAACAGGATTATTTTGACCAAATATTTCAGTTACAAGTCCGCTGTCTATTATTGACCTTATATCAAGCAGTATCTGATTCTCCATAGTCACGGACAGAGTGTCAACTGGTTCATATTTCTTTTTTTTTTCATTGAAGCTAATTAAATTTTCTGTTTCAGTATTCCTCCGAAGAGTTTTTCTATCTAGAAATGAATGAAATAGTCTTAACCAAACACCCCACATATAAAATACTGAAGATGAACCCCATTAGCACGCAGCTGTGAAACCCTGTCAGGCGCTGCTGGGGCTGTGCTGGCCTCTGGCAGCGCTCTGAGGGCTCCCGCCTCCCTGACCCGCACACACCCACCCCACCAGCT